TCCATATCAACGATTTGCTGGAAGCAACTTTATGTCCAGTACACAGCTTCGCGGATGATAGTACCCTCCATACCGCATTCTCTTCCAGGGCTCCAATTCCAGACAGGCAAATCAGAAACGAACGAGGGAGAAATGTTGACAACATAAATAAGGACTTGGCAACAATTCTCGAATGGGGATCCAATAACTTGGTAGATTTCAATGCAAACAAAACACAAGCATGCCTTTTCTCTAGAAAAGCCGATCTCACTGTGCCCAACATAAGCTTGTCAGGAGTAATCATACCTTTGAAAACATCCGTTTCGAAGATTTCATTACTATCAGCAATAACCTTTCTTGGGAAAATCACGTGAGATCAATTGCTAAAAGTGCTTCCAGTCAGCTGCTTATGATCTATAAGGCACAGATCCGATCTGTCCTGGAATGATGTTCCCATATTTGGAGTGCAGCACCCAAACATACCCTGAAACTGTTGGATTCTGTCCAAAAAAGAGCAATTCGCCTCGTTGGTGATGCCTCGCTCACAAACTCACTCACTTCTCTGGGACACCGTAGAGAAGTAGGCGATCTGGTTCTATTATTAGGAATTATTGATTGAAATAGAACCATATACCATAGATGAATTTCTTGGTTCAAGTATATTTTAATTCAGTGTCAGTCAGTCACTTGTTTCATTCATTTATTTTTAGCTATTGTTATTATAATTATGTATATCTATTTTATTTGCTAACAATGTAATTTCAATCTGTCCGTTTTTTTTCTAGTGTATTTTAGTGTTTTGTATATCAATCAAATGTCTTTATTCTACTCATTAAGTATGCATTTTTTAACATGTTCGTTTTTTAATAGTGATTTTAGTACCTTCTTCTTTCTCAGATGTTCGTTTGTTAACAAACATCATATCATTTGACGCCAGTTCATTTAATTGTATTTATGTATTGTAAATGTATGAGTACACTTCTTTGAATAAAGCTATCTATCTATCTATCTATCTATCTATCTATCTATTTCATAGATATTTTCATGGACGAAGCTCTTCTGAAATATCAACAATTGTTCCTTCCTTGGCAGTTCATGCGAGATTGATCAGTCAAGTTGAGGCTTCGCACCCCTTCTTGGTCACTTTGGAGACCTGCAGAACATCTCTTTGCTCAGTTTGAACTGGCAATTAGCTGTAATTGCCTGTTTGAACTGGCAATAAGCTATGATTGCCAGTTTGAGTCTGCTGCAATTATGGCTAATTGTCAGTTCAAACTGGCAATTATGATTTAATGAGGCAGTTCAAACTGGCAATTAAGGCTTGATGTCAGTTCAAACTGGCAACTATGGCTAATTGTCAGTTCAAACTGGCAATTATGGCTTAATGTGCCAGATCAAACTGGCAATTTTGGCTTAATGTCAATTCATACTGGCAATTATGGCTAAATGCCAGTTCGAACTGGCAATTATACTGGAAATAAAAAGTGCCTGACTCCTTAAAAAATATCTCCCTGTAGATTTTTACAATCAATCGGCATACTGTATGATGTAACCTCGGATGTAACCTCTAGAATTTGATCTGTTTTGAATTTGATCTGAATATTTCGAGAATTGAAAGAGCTTAGGTGAAAAATATTTAAAAAATCTTGAAACTTCAAAGCTTTATAGATGTGAAGAAGCGTTTGATATTGACACCTGTTCGTGCAAAAAAATCTAATTTGGTCCTGGAAAATAAGAAACTGAAATTTTGATACTCAATTCTGAAAAACCCATAGATATATCTAACAAATTTCGTGTGGAAAAATTTACCAAGACGCCCAAAATAAATTTACCGTTTTAGAATCACACACACTGTGTATATACTCATGAATATTTGAGAACAGAATTTCAAATATTCTCTCTTTATTTGGGGCTCAAAGCACAGGAAGTTATTCTTGAGAAATATCCCTGTTCTTCTGCCTACAGAATGAAGTTTAATGAATTAGTGAGTGCTCATAGTGCCTAATTACTAGCAGCACTACAAATGCCATTCATCAAGTTTAATTGGAGTTGAGAGGAAAGCGAAAATGTCAATTAGGAGAGGATGGTATCAGCGACAGTTGCTCCATTGATTAAAAAAAATTAGTTACTTTGTGAATCTGGGAAAAAACTTGGACTTGGATGGACTGGAAAGTTCAATCAATAGACTCTTGCACATCCAAAAGGAGAGAAAAAAATTCTTGTGTAGTCTGATAAAATAAGAACAAGAAAAATCAGAGTCAATTCATAGAGGATTATTGTTTTACTTCATGAAAGCCAAGTTATGTTCCATAAGCGTGTTTCAACCGTTCTTGAACCATAGGATTCTTGCATAATAGTCCGGAAGCCAGCAATAACATTTATAAATGTCTTATTTGAAACTCTACAAATCGTTTAATGACATATCAGTTAGGAAAAAAAAACCTCCTGCCCCTTGTCTGTAGAATAATGTACTCTTGCCATGGACCTAATGATGTGAAGAAACGAATTTCAGAGTTGTACCATTCAACGATTTTGAATTATTTAAGAAAATCTGGAAGTAATAATATTCTTCAGTGCCCTCTCACAGCTCAACGTTGCAGTTTCGTATAGAGGCGAGTATAGAGGTAAGTTGATTTCGATCAGCCTATTCACGTCTGTAGTTCACCCTGTAGAATTTATGGTACGTTGTTCTAGGACACTTTTTTTTCACATCATTAGGTCCATGGCAGGAGTACATATGGTTTTACGAAACAGGTGGCAGCACTTGATTTTTTTTCTTCTTCATCTTATATGTCATTGAAAGATCAATGGAGTTTTAGTCTAAAATTTACTCGTTTTTTTTTTATTGATAAGCTGCTGATAATCGTTGTCCTCCCGATGGTGCGCTGTCTAGATGGCGTTAATATGAAACGAAAATAATGATATTAATAATGTCACTGTATCTCCAACTATGAAACAAACACATTCTGAATTCTATTTTCAATACTTCAAGGATTTGGTATAATCAAAACCTTTGCTTCGACTAGAAACCCAAATTGCTCTATCAGGATATACCAACAATCAATCTTCCCTTCATGATCATCGATATATCATAACTCTCGAAAATGGTGAAGTTATCTATACCGGGTGGCTACGGAAGTATTGCCTACGGAATATCTCAGTTATTGTATGAAGTAGGTTTGTGGAATTTGGAGCGTCGATATAATGACATAAGAGCTAGAATTTGAGCATATTAATATGTCGAAGTTAACTTCCGGTCTGACCGGAAGTAACATCAACTTTCTTATTTCAAATGGAAGCCCTATTTTATTTATTCTCTTCCTAATGACATATCACAAGTTGGTATCTAACCAGAAACTAGATCAGAAAAAAATTATTATTGAAATTCACCGAGTAGGCCGTGGAAGCAAAATGAAAGCCAAAAATTGAAAAGTTGGCTATGGAAACCATACTTCACTTGATAACAGTTGCCACTACTGTGATATTTTATTTTCATTAGTCGGCGTTATAAAAAGCCGCCAAAAAAAATATTGGAAAAATTGGGAAAAAAACAATACTCTGTAGGTCCATAACTTAAATAGGAACATACAACTTTTTCTTGCCTGTACTATTCAGCATAACCATTCCCTTCTAATGATATAATAGAAAGTCATTTTTTGAAATGAAATACCAAAAAATCCAATTATTATTCTTCAAATAACAAAAAAACAGATTTATCGAAAAATAGAATTCAAATTGATAGGATTAAAGATAAAATAAATTCAAAACAAATGTTCGAAATGCATTCCCTCAGCGTCAATACATTTATTGACTCTGGTGATATTTTCATGTAAAACGTTTCTCAACATTTGGGGCGTGAAAACTCTACGAATTTTCACTTCTAGCTCATGTAGAGTTGTAGGCTGTGTGATATGTCATTAGAAAGGGAATTGAATGCTGAATAAAGCGAAAAGAAAAAAAAATTGGGTTTCCATTTGAAATAAGAAAGTTGATGTTACTTCCGGTCAGACCGGAAGTTAACTTCGACATGTCAATATGCTTAAATTCTAGCTCTTATGTCATTATATCGACGCTCCAAATTTCACAAACCTACTTCATACAATAACTAGATATTCCGTAGGCAATACTTCCGTAGCCACCCGGTATATAAAACCATTGTGAAGGAGATTATCTACTTCACAAACACTATCTCATGTTCCATCATGCGTTTTTCAACCCTTCCATCCGTTTGACCCATATACAGGGTGTAAATTTGAAAACTTTCAATGCGAATATCTCGCGAAATAAAAAAGTTAGAAAAACGCCGCTTGGCAAAAATGCTAAAGAGGTAAGGGGAAGTAGAACCACCATATTTCAGTAAAGGGATGAGTCACCCTGTCAGCGCAATACACCCCAACTTTGAAATGTCAAATGGCACTACCTCTTTTGTGATTCCTCAAATGAACGGTCTCAGTCAGTAGTATTCACCTGTACAAGACTTTTTTTCCACCCACTACAGGGTGAACGGAAAACATAAAATCGAATAAAATAAAATGCAGAATGCCGATATATTCCAAGAGATGTGTTCCAAAATGTTAGAATGGCATTTGAACATCGATTATACTATTGCTTATAACAGAATGGAATGCATTTTGAACATCTGATCAAATAAAATATCCTTTTAACACAATTCATTTTATTTTATTCGACTTTATATTTTTCGTACACCCTGTAGTTGGTGGAAAAAAAGTCTTGTACAGGTGAATACACTGAGACTGTTCATTTGAGGCATCACAAAAAGGTAGTGCCATTTGACATTTCAAAGTCGGGGTGTGTTGCGCTGACAGGGTGACTCATCCCTTCACTGAAATATGGTGGTTCTAGTTCCCCTTAACTCTTTAGCATTTTTGCCAAACGGCGTTTTTCTAACTTTTTTCTTTCACGAGATATTCGCATTGGAAGTTCTCAAATTTACACCCTGTATAATTCTGACATGAGACAAACTTATAGCTCAAATATATAAAGATAGTCGAATCATATACCTTCATTTCTTCAAAAATGTTGTTCCATCACAACCTCAGGTTCCACAAAAAAAACTAAAATCCCGAATCCCGCCACGATAAACCAGCAATCAATCCTGTCATCATCACCGATATTATCCACTCAATTTCTTGCCCGTTTCCCCAAATCTGAGTCGACCGTGCGCGTGCATATAGCCACTGAGGTGAGTGGTAGGTAGTAGGCTTTGGAAACGGCGGCGGAACAAAAGAGCATCGTGGACTGCGTGACGCCCCCGCCATCTTTCAAATCTGACCTTGATTGGGTTCCATTCAAGAAGAGGAAAGAAGAGAGAAAAAATAAGAAAGAAGACAAGAGGAGAACGGATGTTCTTGTGGTTTTACGTTGTTTGGTTCGCTTCTAGCCAGGCGGATCATTCAATACTTCCAGACTTTACATCTAACGCCGTCTCCATTTGTTGAATCTACGTCAAAAATACTAGTTATTGTTTTGATATCCTTCGGGAATAAATGCAATGAAAAATTCCGCAATTTCGAAAACGTGTTATGGATAGCATAGTTTTCTATTGGTTCTATATAGTAAACAGAAATGTGTTGAGATTAGGAATCTTATTCATGACATCTTATATATACGTTGGGTCGAATAGTTTTTAGTGGATTCCGCAATTCTTTCTAGATTGAGTAATTCGACAAATTGTGAAATATGATAGGTATAACAGAGTTACAAGTTCTACAGGCCAAATAAGTATCAACATTTGCCGAATTTCTTAATAAAAACTATCTGACCCAACGTGAAATGATATATGAACATGGAATAAATGGATATATTATGAAGAAATACATTGCAAATTCGCATTCTCTATATGTCAAAAATATTAATTCTTTTTCTGTATATTCAACAGAAAAAAACGAATTTCCTGGCATTATGCCACGACGAACATTGAGTTACATATATTGAACACACACAATAAGAATTGGGAAATAAAATCTTCTGATAAAAATATAGGTACAGGGTGTTTAGAAAAACCTGACTTCCTTGCTAGGATAGGCAGAACACTGTTAAGAGAAAAATCCAATAGCTTATCAGTGACACTTTGTTCGAAAAAATGTTTGAAGAGAAGAAATATAGATAAATTGAAAAAATTTCGAATTTTTACTCATCTTTGGACGTTTCGGGAACGAATTTGCTCCCGTTCTCAACATAAAAATGCAAAATATTTTTCGTCGAAGATGTTTTCCTCATAGTTTGATACCTCCCAGTGACGTACTGATGTTTTCAGTAGAGAATACCATGTTCTATTTTTATCTACTGAACAGGAAGCAATGCTATTGTCTCCGTTCAGAAGAGTGCAAGTGAATTCCATGAAAATAGTAGATTCAAGATCAATTGAAAGAAACACCCTGTAACTCATTTGTATACCAACTTCATCACTCATCCCAATGCCAACATTGGTATGTCATTGAGGGGTGTCAAACTATAAGAAAAACATTTTCGAAGAAAATATTTTGCATTTTTATGTTGAGAACGGGAGCAGAGTCGTTTCCGGAAAGTCCAAAGATAAGTTGAAATTCGATATATTTTCTTCAAACATTTTTTCGAACAATGTGTCACTGACGAGCTATTGGATTTTTCAAGAAGAAAACTGTCGAAAAAATTTGTTGCGGTGACAAAATATTTGGTCGTGGATATATGACACTCAGATTTTGTTGAATTTACGAAATTTTTTGATGTTTCCCACAATCTTTTTTCTGTGTACTATTTTCCAGCCGAATATCAGAACATTCTGAATTCCCAGTTGAAAACCATCTAAGATCAATTTAACATTTCAGGAGGATCACGAATCCATAAACATTTGTGTATAGACTAATCCTCAGACATTCCACGTTGGGTGGCACAATTTTCAATGAAAATCTCGCTAATTCCAGAAATGAATGAAAACAATTTTTATTTGCGCCAAATAGCCATTCAGTACCTTCTTGAATAGGACAAGCCCTGTATGTCTGCGGCATATGCCTGCGATAAATTTTCAATATCCCCATTCCTGCGGCAAAATTTATGTTCATATGCGTAGGAGGGAAAGCCTTAGGAAATTCTGCACGAGCGAATGGGGGAATGAAGGGCACAATTTGTTGCGGTATTGTTGGAATGTTGGGAAAATCATATACTACATCAGCCTCCGTTTCACCAAAAATTTTCCATATGTTCATCAACGATACTTATATAATATATATGAAACAAAATTGGATTGTCCACTATATCAGAACTAATATAATAGATTTTACCTCAAACCAAACCAATTTTTTAAACGCCTCGTCACGTGTTTCGCTAACTATGTTAGCATCTTCAGGAGAAGTGTGCTGCTTATATACTAGGTATATGTTCACCCAACCGTGAAAAATACTAACCGTCAAGTTAATGTTTGTCATGAGTTCACATGTTAATCTCAATTTTTATTTTACTAAATAATATAGGGCTATATGGAATAGGTCCATTATCCTTATTCATAACTCTATTACTATTCTTGAATATTTTTCAGCTTTCATATGCGTCTAATTTTCTAATATTATTAACTTGGTTAACTAATTTGAGGTTAGTAATATGTGTGTTATGATTGTGATTGAACAAATGTTCGGCTACACACGATTTACCTAACCTGCCATATTTCAAATGTGATATGTGGTCTTTGAGCCTTGTTCTTATGGGTCGCCTGGTTTGGCCTATATATGTTTTATCACAATCATAACAACTTTTTTCGTATATTCCCGACTTTTCAAGTGTGTCCACTTTATCTTTCGGATCGCCTAATAAATTGCCTAATTTTGACCCAGACTGATAAACGCTTTCAAAACCTAAGTCTTTGAAAACCTTATCAAGTACCTTCGTATACTTGGGATTGAACGAAATTATAATTCTTCTAGAGTTCATATTGTCCACTTGAAAAGTCGTATAATTTCGAAGTGTTAACTTAAATTTATGTCTACGTATTGATTTATCTACTATTTTGATATCATATCATGTATATCTTGATGTGTTAGTTCCTTTTCAAAAAACATCATATTCCAAGTTGTTTTCGATATTTTTGATCACAAGTACATCTAAGAAAGGTAATTTGCATTCATCTCCGCATTCATTCAGTTAATTTAATAGAGGGAAAGCAGTTATTCAATTTTGATGTAAAGTTATCTGTATCTGTGGTTTCTGCATCAGAAATAGCAAAAATATCATCGACATATCTAATATAAACCCTAAGGAAATACTCGAGTTTTTCTTTTGCGTTCGCTTCCTACTGAAATGTGGAAAACATTGAAAACATTAGTACCGAATAATAACAAAGAATACAATCTTACAACTATCGATTTCGGCAATGGGGAAATAATTTCTGATAAGACATTGATACCGAATGGCCTGAACACATTTTATATCAAAAGTATAATAAATATAACTGATGGAATTGACAACCATTTTTCTCATAGCTTTCCTATAACTGAAAGAATAACTCATAATAAATTGTCAAACTTTAGTCTTATCAATGAGGTTGATCTAGAAAGAATTATTGGTGATTTGAAAAATAAAAATAGTCCCGATGAGATTTGTGTAGAATTTCTGAAAAAGTGTTTCAATGCCATTTGTAATCCATTGTTAAACATTATCAACAGTTCTTTAGAGAGAGGTGAGGTACCAACTGAATTAAAATTATCCACTATTATACCTATACCAAAAGTGCCAAATACAAACCAAGCTATTCAATTAATGCCAATAAACATGAGTAATGCTACAGCTAAAGTATTGGAAGAGGCTGTATATGAGCAGATAGTGGATTATTTGGAGAGCAATAGGGTCCTATGTGAGTATCAATCAGGTTTTCGGAGCAAACATAGTTGTGAAACGGCGTTACAATGTGTTTTAACAGATTGGAGGAAAAGTGCGGAAAAGAATCAGTATACTATTGCAGTATTTCTTGACCTGCAAAGGGCATTCGAAACTGTAGATAGAGGCAGACTGATTAGAAAGATTGAAAGCGTAGGTATTGATGGAATAGCACTAAACTGGATCATGAATTATTTGAGCAATAGAAAGCAAAGGTTGAAACTAGATGAAGTATATTCAGATAAAATGCAAAATGATATTGGTGTACCCCAAGGGTCTATATTGGGACCATTGTTATTCCTAATATATTTAAATGATATTGTAACGTAAAATTCACTTATTTGCCGACGACACCCTACTGTACTTTAGTAGTGATGATGTGCATGAGTGTGTTGATACTATGAACGCTGGTCTTGAAAGGGTGAATAGATATTGCTGTGCAAATCTGCTAAAGGTTAAACGTAAATAAAACAAAATGGATGTTATTAGGAAAACATAAAGATCATAATAATGAAAATCTACTTCTAAGATTGAATGACAGTGATATAGAAAAGGTGAACAAATTCGTGTACTTGGGTGTTACCACTGACAATGAATTGAAATTCAAGGAACATGCTAATCAGGTCATCAAAACAGTAGCTTACAAAGTCAATTATTTAAGAAAATGTTCCCCATATCTAAGCCAGTGGTCTAAACTATTAGTATACAACTCCATAATCCTTCCACATTTAAATTACTGTTCCACCATTCTGTTTTTTCTCAACCAGAATGAAATAAACAGACTACAAAAGATGCAGAATCGTGCTATGCGAATAATCTTACAATGTTCAAGGATAACACCGATAGCAAATATGTTGCAAACCCTACAATGGCTACCAGTGAGAAAACTCTTCGAGTATCAAACACTAATTTTCATTTTTAAAATCAAAATTGCATATTCACCTGTATATCTACAGAATAAATTATCATATGTGGCTGAAATACATATGAGTATAATACAAGAAACAGAAACAATATAAAAGTTGAAAAATATAAAAAAAATAGTACACATAATTCCTTATTTTATAAAGGAGTTGATTGTTTTAATGACCATCCACAAGAAATTAAAGAGAGTGGTTTGATAAATACATTCAAAAGACGATTGAAGGATTATTTGATGAAAAATTAGTACATAATTATTATTTTTTCAGTAGTTTTTATTTACACGTATGTATTTTTTATTCAGACTGATTGTATTTTTTCATGTTAATCTAAGTTTATTTATATGTGAATGTATTTACTATTGTGAATGAATTAGTTTTTCAACTA